GTCGGGACTGGGCCCCGCTATACCAATCAATATATGTCCTAATTATACTGACTAGATAAGCAACTCCAGAGCAAAATGGAGCGCACCAACACCTTTCGCTAAGCTGATAGCCTACTTGGAGGACTCTCAACCTGTCTATCGGGACCTGCGACCATAAAACGCAGCGTCCCCAGGCAAAAGGGACGTCAGTACAAATAATGTACCGAGTATGTAAGGAATGAAAATTAGTACGTAATAGGCATGAGAGAAACATGGAGTAAAGGACTCGACATGTAAGTCTGAATAACTCTGTGAATCATTAATATGTATAATGCCATGCATATGCGTATAAATGTCATGTCGTGCATAGGTATATGTGTTCATAATATCACCAAGCCTCTGAGGGCATCCCGTCATATCATCTCGGCCATTGTGGGCAAATTCATCAACATATACCAGCTGATCAGGTGGTGGTGCGTATATAACGTCGTAACCTTTTCCCATATCCTATATACATATAAACACATATATATACGCGTATATAACACCATCTGCTTATGGATCAATGTAAATGAATGCAATGCATGAGAAGTACGTCAATAAAATTCCTCGGAATGTCATAAGACCATTATGCCTTTGATTAATATCATAAAGTAAACTTTATCAACTTACGTATTTTCTGAGACCCATGAACAGACGATAGAATAATAAGACATATGGGGATCAAGAACATAAACATCTCTAGCATTTCTATGAATAGAGTCATTTATGGAAGTTGTGCATTTGCTCGTTTCGTCTATCTCGTATGGATCATGCCAAAAGAAAGAAGAGATAGCATTAACATACATGAGCCGATTCTCTTGACAATCCCTCTAACACACGTCAATTGCGACAAGTCACGTAACAGCGGATCAAAGTAGGGAAAAATCCGTATGATATTCTTGAGAAAGATTGTACCGTACTCCATTAGAATCGCAAAATCCCGTTGCTATAACATTACGTTGTCTCGTATGAATCTCTTGCTGGAGCTATTTACGTTGCTATGAAGATAGATATATCTCTCCTTTGAATATGATCCTACTCTTGTATATCTTTTCTTTGCTGAAGCCTTCTTTTAATTGTAGAGACCCAAATGGATTAAAGAGGTCTCTTTATCTTTTGGGTGTGGGCCCCACATTTTAGATGACTATGCCATAAATTTCTTCTAAATATGCCACATAGCGCATGAATAAAGAGTCATTGTTACCCACTTGTCTTGCTGCCACATTAAGGCTTATCCAAAAGTCTTAATTAAATAGTTAATCTTCCACTAAAATCGATAATTACCCAATTATCATTATAAATTATCTCAAATTACTTAAAATACTACTCACTTTTAACACGTTTTATATACCTTACTATCATGGTTATGTGGTAGCTTGTATAGCACTAGTCCATTGGAAAGTGCGTATAAAAACATACACCATGTCATATGACATCAAAGTCTGGCGGGTGATCAAAAAGGGAAATCTTCCAGTTCCCCCAAAGAAAGATGAGAATGGTCAAGTCATAGTATCAACTGATCCACTTGATTTGGATGATTACACTGATGAGCAAGTGCTGTCATAACTGTGAATGCTAAAGCAAAAAATCTACTGTACAATGCTATCAGTGGTGAAGAGTATGAAAAGATATCACGCTGTGAAAATGCTAAGGAAATGTGGGATAAATTGGAGGTCACATATGAAGGAACCAACAAGGTAAAAGAAACAAGGATAAATCTTTTGGTTCGTGAGTATGAGCTATTTCAAATGAAGGATGGAGAATCTGTAGCGGAAATGTTCTCCAGGTTCAACAAAATTCTTGGAGATCTAAAATCCTTTGGTAGAACAATAAAAAGTGGAGAACAAGTCAAAAAAATTCTTAGAAGTCTGCCCACGATTTGGCAGCCCAAGGTCATTGCTCTCGAGTGTCAGGATCTTGACAAAATGTCCTATGATGAACTTAAAGGTGATCTAATTGCCTTTGAGAAAACTCACTTGGATGGGCAAATTCAACAAGAAAAGAAGAAAATAGTTGCTTTTAAAGCAACTGTGGTTGAACCAGAAAATGAAGAGGAAGAAGAATAAGGAGAACAAGATGAAAACATAACCATGCTCTCTCAAGTTGTAACAAGCAGATGAGGAAGAAAACCCAAATGAACTTGGCCTTATGGTAGACGAGGGAACCAGTGAGGTACGTCTTCCTACATGTCCCAACTATAATGAACTTCAAGAATTTGTTTATATTGATATTGCAGATTTTGAAAGAGTTCCGAATGAACTCAAAAAGATCAAAATAGAAAAGAAAGATTGGGCTTTGAAGCTGGAAGTCTGTGAAATTGCGTGTGATATGCTTCAAGATGAAGTAAATGAACTTCAACTTCGACTGAATGGACTGCAAAAATCCACCAGTCATAGTTCTGTCAAATCAAACCAGACTGCTACTCACAATCTTAAAAAATCTCATGCATGTTCCTTTTGTGGTAAAAATGGTCATAATACTAACCAATGCAGGAACAGAATCAGAGCAGAAAGAGGCTCTGAAAATCCCAGTAATCCATCATGCTTTTATTGTGGTAAATGTGGTCACACCTCTAATCATTGCAGGTTCAAGGATAATAGGAGATCAGTCTGGCGACCTAAATCTTCTAATTAAATTAACACTCAGAAACCTAACCATTCAGGACCCAAGCAGGCTTGGGTATCTAAAAACAAGTAATTTTGTTTTGCAGGCACACCGTAAGAAGAATCAAAAAGGAAAATGGTATCTCGATAGCGCGTGTTCTAAACATATGACTGGTGACAAGCAACTGTTCAAAACAGCCACCAAACTAGATGGAGGAACAATCACTTTTGGAGATAAATCAAAAGGTAATGTAATTGGAGTTGGAAAAGTTCCTCTAAGCTCAAGATGTGATGTAGACGAAGTATACCTAGTTGATGAACTCGGCTACAATCTTCTCAGTATCAGTCAACTATGTGATAATGACTAGGATGTTCGTTTTAAGAAATATGGTTGGTTTATAGAAGACGAATCAGGTAAGGTCATCCTCTCAAGTAATAGAGACATGAATGTCCATACTATTAGCAATATAGATAATCTTGGGGATCAAATTTGTCTTGCTTCTATGATTGATGATCCCTGGGTCTGGCATCGAAAACTTGGTCATGCTAGCATGCATACTATTGAAAACTTTCTAAACATGATCTTGTCATTGGTCTTCCAAAACTAGATTTTTTAAAACATCATATTTGCGATGCATGTCAACTAGGAAAACAAACTCGCTCATCTTTCAAAATCAAAAACATCGTTTCTACCTCTAAACCTCTTCAACCATTGCATATGGATTTATTTGGTCCAACTAGAACTGCTAGTATAGGTGGTAGGAAATATGCTTTTATTATTGTGGATGATATTTCTCAATGTACATGGGTTATGTTTTTAAGTCATAAAGATGAAGCTCTAAGGAATTTTGAAGTATTTTGTAAGAAGGTTCAACGAGAAAATGGATACTATATTTCCACTACCAGAAGTAATCAAGGAGGAGAATTTAAAGCAGAGCTTTTGAAATTTTTTGCAATGATCAAGGAATCTCTCACAACTTCTCTTCACCAAGGTCACCACAACAGAATGGAGTGGTAGAACGTAAAAATAGAACTTTACAGGACATGGCAAGAACCATGATTGTGGAAATTCTCTACCTCACTATTTCTGGGCAGAAGCTATGAGCACAGCATGTCATATCATCAACAGGTGTCTGATTCGACCAATCCTTAAAAGGACTCCATATGAACTATGGAATAGTAAGAAACCCAACATCAGCTATCTTCACCCTTTTGGATGCAAATGTTTCATTCACAACAATGGAAAGGACAATCTGGGTAAGTTTGATCCTAAAAGTGACGAAGGTATATTTCTTGGATACTCTCCCTCAAGTAGAGCATATAGGGTTTATAATAAAAGAACCTTATACATTGAAGAATCAACTCATGTTGTTTTAGTTGATACTAACCCTCACTTAAAGAATGAAAAACTTCCTGAAGATGAGGAAATTTCTATTGTCCCTAAATTTGTTGTTGTAGGAAAAAATCATCAAAATGAGTCAATTGGTCAGTAGACTCAGTCAACTGAAGAGCTTATTGAAGATCATGAACCTTCCCAAATAGATCAGTCGACTAATGTGGAAAGAGAACCTTCCTCAAACACTCCAAATGAATGGAAAAGTGAACCTGGCTATCCTCACAAATTCATAATCGAAGACCCACAGGAAGGAATCACTACTAGAAGATCCAAAAAGCTCAAATCACATGCGGCTCTAATTTCTCAACTTAAGCCAAAGAAAGTGGATGAAGCACTGAAAGATGTTCACTGGATCAAAGAAATAAAAGAAGAACTTGATCAGTTTGAAAGAAATAAAGTGTGGGAACTGGTTCCAAAACCTTCAAACTCCTCTACTGTAGGAACAAAATGGGTGTTCAGGAATAAATTGAATGAATCTGGACAAGTAGTTCGAAATAAAGCAAGGCTAGTTGCGCAAGGATACTCTCAGCAAGAAGGAATCGACTATGATAAAACATTCGCACCTGTAGCAAAATTGGAATCTATTCGAATATTACTTGCTTTGCCACTCACAAAGTATTCAGATTGTTTCAAATGGATGTAAAAAATGTGTTTCTAAATGGCTACATCTCTGAAGAAGTATATATGAAGCAACCTCCTAGATTTGTAAATGTCACTCTACTAGATCATGTATACAAGCTGACTAAAGCTCTGTACGGACTCAAGCAGCTTCTCGTGCATGGTATGAAAGGTTAAGCTTTTTCCTTCTAAATCAAGGTTTCAAACAAGGTAATATAGATATAACTCTGTTCATTAAGCATTCAAGTTCAGGTAATCTTATTACTCAAATTTATGTTGATGATATTATTTTTGGTAGTCCTAAATATGTTCTATGTGAAGAATTTGATGTTTCTATGAAATGATAGTTTGAAATGAGTATGATGGGAGAATTAACTTTCTTTCTTGGACTGCAAATCAAACAGTCTCCTAAAGGGATCTTCATTAGCCAAACCAAGTACACCAAGGAACTTATAAAGAAGTTCGGCATGGAGAATGCTAAGTCTATTGGAACTCCAATGAGTGCAACAACGATGCTTGTTGAAGACATCAATGGAAAAAGTGTTGATGAAACTATGTATGTATAGAGGAATGATTGGATCCTTATTATACCTCACTACTAGTCGACCAGATATTATGTTCAGTGTTTGCAAGTGTGCAAGATTTCAGTCGGCTCCTAAGGAATACCATCTTACTACTGTTAAACGCATTATAATATATCTCATTGGAACCTCGGAACTAGGATTATGGTATGCTCATTCTAACAATTTTGCTTTAAGAGGATTTTTAGATGCAGATTTTGCAGGTGATAAGATCTACAGGAAAAGTACCAGTGGCACATGTCAACTTTTCGGAAATGCACTAGTTTCTCGGCAGAGCAAGAAACAAAATTGTGTTGCCTTATCAACAACTAGAGCAGAATATTTAGCTGTTGAAAGCTGTTGTACCCAAGTTCTGTGGTAATGCATCAACTTCTCGACTACGATCTATCTCTTACCTCTACTCTTATATTTTGTGATAATACTAGTGCCATATATTTGTCAAAAATTTTTGTGCATCATTCTAAAGCAAAGCATATAGAAATCAAGCATCATTTATCCGTGATCATGTTGCTAAAGGTGATATTGTATTCGAGTTCATTAGCACTGAATCTCAACTTGGTGATATAGATTTTGTTTACTACGGAAAAAGATTGGCATTGTGCCAAATTTGTAAAACAAATCTTTTGTATCTTTCTAAAATATTTTATTTCCTTTATTATTATGAGTGTTTAACTTTAATTTGCTGTAAGTATCATTATTACTTTTCCATCTATACCGCCGAAACATCTTTTCAGAAAGGTCAATTCCATTCTGAATCCGCCCTTTCCATTAACCAAGACGACTCTTCAATCTTTCCAACGCCCTGTTAAAAACCCTTTCTTCTTCTTTTGACTCCTCATTCTCATATAGCAATTTTTCTCACCATGGAAAAAAGAAATCTTTCCTCTTCCACTCTAACTAGACGAAGCAGAAGGTTTCAAAAAACCCTCAACCCTGAAGAAACTATGGACCTGGAGTCATCCATCGACTCAAATTTTCTCAAAACTGACAATGAGAGTAGTGAATCTTCAGAAAATCTTCCCATTAGCCATAAAAAGGCAGGAAAAGGCCCATGGAGCAAACCCCCAAAAAGCCTGCATGCAAGAAAGGAGAGGTGGAAAGCACGGAATTCGGACCAGAGGACAAATTGATCTTCTATGGACCTAGTGAAAAAGTAAGGTTTGAGTCTTATAAGTCAAAATCTATGACTTATGGACGCTCTTTAAGTCTTTCTCTTATGAAAAATCTGCACTGTGATGTGATTGCCATATTTGATTTTCAACATCTTTCTTCTTTGTTTGATACTATTGGGAACTCTGTTTATGAAGAGCCTGTGAGAATGTTCTATGCAAATTTGTTTGTGAATGATAAAGACGATTTGGAATCCATGGTTTTAGGCACTCGAATTGTTCTGGACTCTTATCAATTTGAATTTTTTTTTCTACTAAGTTTAGTGAGTTTGATGTCTTTGTACAAAATTCTTGGCCAAAAGATTTTGAAGTCTCTTTTGAAGAAGCAAAAGCCTTTCTGTATGATAATCATCCTGATATTGGTCCCAAGAATATGAAGTTTAAACACTGTGTTTTGGCCCACATGATTGCCACTACTTTACTTCCCATAACTGGGTCCCTTAGCACTTTATCCACTAGAGATGTTTTTGTCCTTTATTGTCTTGTTAATAATAAAAGACTGGACTGTTTTGTATGGATTCGCCAATACATGCTTGAGAGTATCAGGGACATACCTTCTTGTGCTACTTGTTTACATATGGTCTCCTTGTCTCACACATTCTTGAAGTTTTAAAGGTAGACTTGGCACCTTTCTCACCCAAGCATATTACCAGCACTTACGATAAGACAACTTTTTCAATGATGGGTTACACTTTGGGTGATGATGGATGGGTTAAGCGCGCCAAAGTTGAAAGCGTTCCAATGCCAGTTGAAGCTCATACTGCACAACAAGAATCTCAGTCGACTGCCTCTCAAAATCTTCAGCAGATTCAATAATATCTAGATAGGGTAAAACTACTGCTCGTCGAGATGAAGGAACTGGTGGACAAGATCAGGGAAGTCAATAAAGAGACAGGTACAGATGTGGCCAAGATTAGGATGGATATGGGAGCCAGACGGCGACAAGGAACCAGGGCATTCAACTCTATGACAGAAAAGATGGATAAGCTTGTCAAAGATGTTGAAAATTCCTGTGATTCCTTCTGCACCAAAGTGATCAATACCCTCAAGTATTTCCTTGGGAGAAGCTAATGCGTTATGTGATGATGTTATTAAAAACAATCTTTGTTGCTTTGCTTTTGCTTGCTTGCTTTTGGTCTAACAACTTATTTTTGCTTAGGTCTGTATGAACCATCCTCTATGCCTCTGCTGTAGGCATCACTTTTGCTGCTCTAACTAGTCTGTTCTTATAAATATTACTTCCTATGTTACTCGGCTTGTATTTTTTTCCTTTTTGATTGATGTCAAAGGGGAGAACAGTACAGTAGAGAAGTAAAGCATCAACTCAGGGGGAGCAATGATAAGTACAAACGCAGGGGGAGCGGGCATAATGAGAGGGAAGTATACATGGTTTATACTTATCCATATTTATTTACTGTTTACTCCCTCTTTATTGTCATCATAAAAAAGGGGGAGATTGTTAAATCTAAATCTAAGTTTCAATGATGATAACCTATTTACATTGATTGCAGAAATCAAGATATCAACAAAAGGAAAGAAAGCTGTCAAGAAGCTGTCAAAAGGAAAGAAGCTGACAAGGTCCAAACCAAAGGAGATGGTGCTGAATAAAAGGAGTTGATGATGTCTAAACCAAAGGAGATGATGCTGAATCAAATGATAAGAAGCCATTAAAAAAGAAACCAAATCTGTCGTGCCCTCTCAGTCTCAATCGAAGACTATCAAACAAGGAAACATATCAAGTGAAGATCAAAGAATATCTGGCATCTTCAATCAGCAAAGTCGAAGGCTCAAATCTCTCCATAAAATAAGGACGTGACAAGGAAAGTCATGAACGAAATCCAGCCCATCTCAAGTGCAGGATTCAAGAGGCACCCCTTGGGTCAAATCTCTTAGAGGATTCTGTGCCTCAATCAAGACAAATTGCAACGGCTCTCAAACTCTCCTATAAGAAGTCTGCTCAGTTCATAAAGAAGACTTGCGCAACTACAAACATTGTCTTCTAAGTCTCTTTACTTTTTAGCATAAATATAGTATTCTTCAATTTACCAGTGTCATAAAAGATAGGAAGAGTTAGAACGCAAAAAAGTATTGTGTCAACATTCAAAATATATAGCTGCTACATTCCGTTGGTGGTGAACGAGTTAAAACCATCATTGCTGTAATTATTTTCAAGATCTAAGAGAACCCTTGTGGCCCAAGGGAAACTAAACGTAAGTACCACCGGTGCCGAACCAGTATAAAAATTCATGTGTGTTGTTCTGTTTACTATTCTCTTTGTTTATCTCTATTTGCATTCTGCACGAGATCTAGTCGACTAAACTCATCCTTAGTCAACTATTTTCTAATAGACCACAATTCACCACCCCTCTTGTACTTTCAAAACAAACTATCTTTCTATTGGGCTTGTTCGTATGATTGTATCTCTTCATCTGTTCCTCGTGCTTTATTTTTTCTATTGTTCTCTACGTTTTCCTTTGTTGGATTCATGAGAATTAAAGCTTCAAATTTATCAGGTCTATTTCTTTTGTTGCAATTGTTTGTGGCTTTCCGACGGTCATTAAAAGAACTATCAATGAGATTGCACCTTCCATTGTTAAACTTTAGGACATCATGTCCTTAACTTTACATACGCAGTGTAAATGTTAAGGACATGGCGTCCTTAAGTGTGCAGTTGTAAATGTTAAGACATAATGTTCTTAACTTGTATATGTACCTTCCGTTCTTAAACTTTAGGACCTCATGTCCTTAACTTCATATGTGCAGTGTAAATGTTAAGGATATGGTGTTCTTAACTTCATGTGTGAAGTATAAATGTAAAGGACATAGTGTCCTTAACTTTATAAGTGTTGTGTAAATATTAAGGACATGGTGTCCTTAACTTCATGAATGTTGGGTAAATATCAAGGACAAAGTGTCCTGTATTTGCACCTTCCGTTGTTAAACTTTAGGACATCATGTCCTTAACTTCATATATGCAGTGTGAATCTTAAGGACATGGCGTCCTTAACTTCATGTGTGCAGTGTAAATGTTAAGGACACCATGTCCTTAATATTTATACAGCACTCATGAATAAAGGGTAAAAATGTCTTTTCGTATTAATTTTAATAGGATAGTGGCTATTTTTGCTCAGCATTAAAAATATTGGATAAAAACTAAATACCATGTTAAAAAATGGCTATCCCACGCTATTTCTACTTTTTTCCATGTCCAGCCAGGTCCAGCGTGTCCGGCAAACATACTTAGTGCAAATTTAAGTTGGACACTGTTATTAAAAATAAATAAATAATAATAATAACCAAAAAATTAGAAAGATATTAGAGGGGTATATTTGGGAATTGAAATAGGCATAATAATATCTGAGCATGTCTAGGTTTTTCCTTTCTTCCTAAGCTTTACTCAAAACATTCAATTTCGACCCAATCGATTCTCCGGCGTTAGCAAATCCTCCGTTCGCATTTTCCGGTAAGTTAACATTTTACTTTTTTACTCTATCGCTGCTTTATTTACTTGTAAAGAACTAACCGTCTCTGTTATTACACGTCGTTGCTCTGCTCTTTACACATTTGCCAATTAAATTTCTCATTTTTGTATTTTTAATTAATAAGCACAAGATAATTTCATTAACGCTAAGTTAAGTAGAGCTGGACAACATCGAAAATTCCTTATAAATATTTATCATTTTTGCTATTTTAGTTTTTTTTTTTTAATTTCAGCGGTGAAGATTTTTATTTAATTTAGAATTGATGGTTCATATTACAGAATTTATAGCTGTGAACCAAATTAGTGGTTTTGTATGTTATGGTTATTTTTCCCTTTTTCTTTTTAATGACGGTGGTGTACAGGCACAACTTGCTTGCACTAGCATTGATACCAAGTAACTATGCCCATTATGCCTTAAATAGATGGAAGAAATCACCTAGTGTTTGTTGACGGTGGTGTCCAGGTTGTACCTGTTCGCACCTTGACTATTTCAGTAGGTACTTGCTACCTCTCACTAGCACTAACACCGAGTAACTCTCTACACCAAGTCTTAGATAGATGGAAAGATGTCACCTAGTGTATTTTGCCTTTGCTGGGACGTGAACCTGAGACCTCATGATTCTCCCCCACTTCATTGACCACTAAGCCATACCCTTGAGTCTGTTATGGTTATTTAGGCGGGAATGTTGGGAAATTCATTTTAAATTGAGTAGTTATAAGGGGCTATGGCAACCCTGCTCTTTTATCTGGTCTTGGTATCAACAATGTGAGCTCACGTAGGATGCAATGCTCGCACATGCAGGTTTTTGTTTAGGAGGGAATGGCTAAGAAGATGGTCAAATGATGCAATTGTTTATTTTTTGCTGAGGGCAGTGTTGCGCAACACCTATGCTAGTGGGGGGTAGCAGGACACCACCCTCATAAAAAAATGGTGCAATTGCTCGATTCTTTGCTTAGGTAGAGAAGACTAGTCGTAGAAGTGGACCGGTTACTTAGTCATTTATGGTGTGTCTGCTTGTGAATGAAGTAGCGCATAGTTCATTGCTCAGAATGATGATAATATTTGAGATTTTTGGCTTTTGGATGTCTCTATCTTTCCATATTTTTTTTGAGATGTATGTGCATTTCTTTCAAGCTATACAGAACTCTCAGCATTGCATACATCCCACTGAACTCCCAACACAGGAAAAAGCACGAGGAAAAAGTTATTCTCCTTTTTGAAAGCTATCATCTTTTTCAGAAAAATTATGTGTCAAATACAGAAAATAAAAATTCAGGGTTTGTTCTTTGAGGATTGTTATCTACATGGGATGTTTTCTGGCCTTTTCTTTTTGATGACCGAGTAATCCGTCTAGGGCGAAGCTTAGGACCAACCGCAGCCTTTGAAACTCTGGGATAATGGGCCCGCCCCTCAACCTTTCTTTACTTAGGATGTTGTCTGGACTTAATACAAGCTAATTAAAATTAGTCAAAGCAGTGTGCCGCAAATTCTTAAATATCAGCTAGAACATGCCACAACATGCTCTCTGACATAAGCTGGAACTGTGGAGTGACACTATGACCTAGATAATGGTAAAAAAGGGGACTCCTGTTACCACTAAGCATTTATTGTGGCTTAACCTTTCTTTCATGCTTTGTGTTCTCCACATTGCGGCCGGTGGTAATGTTTTGACTGCAATGCATTTTGAGCGTTATCAGGCGTACATATCTTTTCTAATTACAAGACATTGGATGATATATATTTTTTGACATTTCCTCTGAATTCTTGTTGCATTCAAGCTAAACTAGTGGTCTCAGTTTGCTAAGCTGTAATGGTTTTGGAAAAACTTTGACAAATTCTGTTCCAATTGAAGTTACAATCTGATTCTTTCTGCCTTGGCTGCAGATTGTTTCTTATCCTAGCGTGGTATAATCTGTATCTCTGTGCATTTATTTTTTAAATTATTATGTGCACTTGGCACTTGTGCTTCTCAAGTTATTAAGCTCCATATTCTAATTCTAAATTAAGAGAAAAATAGGGGCTGCCAAGCTTTCTGGTGGAGTTATCTTTTACTCATTCACTGTATTTTTTTGTCATTTCTGTTGTCCGTGAGCTATAAATGACTTAGGTCTCATCTATTGCCAAATATGATGTTTCGCCAGATAGATGTATTTTATCTAAAGGAGAAGATGATAATGATTAAAAAAACCAATATATGAAGAAAAAACAATCATTCATATGCGTTTTATCATTCTTATTCCATTCAACGACTGGCATCTGAATGCCTGAGGTGTGAAGGCATCTTAACAGGAGTGCAGCAGCTCTCCTGATAGGGATATGAGCAAGAGACACTGATGTGCTTTTTGTTTCTTAACCATAATAAATAACGCAGAATGCGTTACGCATATACATGGATAGATACAACTATCGGAGAATGAATTCTATTAAAGTATTTGTTAGAAATTCTCTTTTCTTTTTAAGTTTTGCACTTTCGGAGAAAATTGTTGGAATAGATAATTTGATACATTGCTGGATACACTTCTCAAAGTTGAGAAAAAAATTCTAAAAGCACTACTATTTCTTACAATTGGATCCATGGTTAATTTACTGAAAGGCATGATGGATTTGTTTTTTTGCATGCAGCTATTTTCGTCCTTGGAAATTGTTCTGATGGATGCATGATCATGAGTCTGTGACTTCTGCATTAATCAGGTGGTGATTTACCTTATGTGTCCTAAACGCATAGGAGTTGATTGAAAGATTGATAGCTTCTTGCTAGATTAGTATCATGGGATACAATCGGCAAAAAGATAAGAATGGTTACCGTAGTTCATCAAAGGGTAATGGCAATGATGGTACATCAGCTAGGACAAGACCTCTCAGTTTTGATGACATCATGCTTAGAAGGAAAAGTAAGGAAGAGGAAGTGGACATTAAGAACAATTTTGTAGGAGCTGAGAGTGTATCACGTAAAGAAGACAGGCATAAGAGGGCTACTGATGGTTTAGAACCTGAGCGAAACCGCTACGATGAGTCATTACCTAGTGCTTCCAGACATACTTCGGAGGATTCTAGGAAGTTAGCATCAAGGCAAACAGAGAATAATATGATGGCTGAAAAATTGGCTAGGGGTAAACATAAAGATAGTAGAGAATCTGAAATCAAATCAAAGAGATCAGTGAACAAAGATGTAAGCAATAAGAGACTAGCTGGTAGCAAAACCGACAAAGATTATCTTGTCCGGAGAAGAAAAGATGAGGAATTTGTTGATGATTCTGGAAATGAAACTGGTAAAAGACATTCAAGAGATTTGGCCCGGAAGGAGAGATCGACAGATAAAACTGACAGAAGACGCGATGAGGGAAGAAAAGACAAAGATCCTGATAAGGATGAGAGACAGTCATACAGGAAGAGGAAAGATATGGAAGTGCCAAGTGATGCTCCTCTGGATGAGGCTGAGAAAAGGCATTCAAGAAATCATGGACGGAGAGATAGTTATGCTGACAGAACTGAAGTAAAGTCTGAATCAGGTAGAAGGAAGCACCGAAGTGATGACGAGGAGAGAAACAGAGACAAGAATGCCGATAAAAAACACAGTTCATCGAAAGTTTCTGAAGTTACCGGAAGGGTGGAATCTTCTCGGGCTCAGCTGGAGGAAGAAAGACCAAAGAGAAGGCGGTCAAGAAGTCGAGAGTATGATAAAGATCGAGGTAGAAGGTCTCGTTCTGGCTCACCAAGAGGACGTAAGCATTCATCTCATGATCTCAGAGAGCGTGGTGAGTTTTCCTCGCATTCTTCCAAAGATAAATCTGGAAGATCACATTATGATCTGGATAAAAATATATCCAGCAATGGTTCAGATAGCCACTCCAAGCGCCATGCAGAATCTACAAGTGGGCTTGGTGGCTATTCACCAAGAAAGAGGAAATCAGAGGCTGCTGCTAAAACTCCTCCTCCAACTAACCGCTCTCCAGATCGGAAAAATGCTGGGTGGGATCTACCACCTGCATCAGCTGGAAGTAATGTTACTGGTTCTGTTCCTTCTAGCGTTCAGTCTTCAATGCAATCTGTAATACCAAATATACATCAGCTCTCTAGCGTGGTTCCTGCTAATACATTTACAACAAAGACTGCTGGCGTTTCATATAATTACTTATTTTCATCTGTACATGCAACTGATTCGGTCCAGCTGACACAAGCAACACGACCTATGAGAAGGCTTTATCTAGAAAACTTGCCAAACTCCGCTTCTGAGAAAGATATTCTGGACTGGATTAATCATTCTTTGCTGTCTTCAGGAGTCAATCGCATTCAAGGAACACAACCATGTATCAGCTGTATGGTATGTTTACTTCTTCTACTCTTGTTCTAAGTAGGATAGAGATTAGTGTTGCTTACTGTTTCTTCACTGCAGATACACAAGGAGAAGCGCCAAGCTCTTCTAGAATTTTTAACCCCCGAGGATGCTTCTGCTGCACTTTCTTTTGATGGCAGATCCTTCTGTGGTTCTATTCTTAAAATCAGGCGGCCAAAAGACTTCGTCGAAGTGGCTGTAAGAATATTACCATGAGATTCTTTATAGATTTGTGCTGGTCTTTTGCACTGGCCTTTTGTTATTTGCTTTTTCTTAGTGATATCATGAGAGACGTGTGGGACAATGATTGGTTCTTGCATATTATTTTATGTAATATGTTATGTGATATGCAGTCTATCTAATTTCACTGTGTTGCAATCTCCGAACCCCCACCCAAAAGTAAAATCAGTCTGTTTGGCTGGATTTTCTTACTTCCCGCTACATTATGAGATGTCTTGGTGTGTCATCTTTTTTGTGCTACCATTTTCCCTGAAGCTTCAATCTATATTATAGAGTTGTCATGTTTCATATGCTTGACTAGTAAACGTTTCGTTTTCAACTTTTTCCTTCTATAGCTTTTGAAAATATATGAACAACAATTCAATGCTAGGGAGTTGCATTGTCAAGTTGTTCTACTTCCCTATATGTCTTAACAATTAAGGAGGTAAGGGGAAGGTAGCTGAGAAACAGTTACCCAATAGATCGATTTTAATATGATTGGGTTCTTGGTTGAAAAATAGCTACTTCTTTAGGTCCTTTTTGTTTCAATAAAGCAAGCTTGTTACTTTCGGTTGAAAAGTGACAACTCATTGTCATTTGGGTAGTTGGGTTAAATTTTCTGCCTGTTCAAAGTGATTTTACTAAGACAAGTATTGAATGCGGGTGGCCCCAAAACGAGTTGGGTCAAAAGTGATTTGTGTAAAATTTGGTTGCCAGTACTAGGTTAAAAGCGGTTTGAGTTGTAGTTCGGTTGCCATTTTAATCATATAGTGGTGACCGTTGATATAGAGTACAGACTTTGCTGATGAAAGTTTGTTCAAGGTTACTTGGCGGATTTCCTGAAAAGTCTTTGATAATGGGATTAGCAGGAAACAATATGCCTTTTCTATTGACTGTAATTCTCCATATGAGGATGTGAAATGTCAGATATCCGGGTCCTTGGGCTACTTTATAAAATGGTACATCGCATTTCAAACCCCACACACACTTTTTGTAATATGGGTTGTGTACTTATTCTTCATTTTAATTTTCAGTTCTAAAATGGATACAGACTATGCGTTTGTGGTGGGTTGAAACAAATTTATGTTTAGTTAAATGAATCTGACTTTTCCTATTCTCTTTCCTTCCTTTCTTTATCATGGGGTATTTGGAGTGATTAGTTGCATGGATTGTGACTTTTGTTCGGCGAGGGATGTTAAGTATGATGGTCAATTTGCTGTTCTTGTCCCAGTAATACATACTACTCAAAATCTATTCTTCACCTGCATCAAAGAATAAGTACATAGGCAATAAACAAAATTCTCCGGTAAATGTGTTCTTGCAGGTAAAAAACAAGGTGTCCATCTTTATCATAAAAAAGTCAAGGTCTTCATCTAGTCAAAGAGTAGGACGCATGAAGAGGTTAGACTTGTCCTCAATGCTTGAATGATTGTTCAGTGTGGAAGATAACCTCTGTGAATGGGACACCAATCTCATAGAGTCCCTTAGCATTTGTTAGCAGCAACATAGGCACCAAGATTAGCAGCAACATAGGCACCAAAATTTTAGTATAGCATATGTTTAAGATGCTATTGATATGAAATCATTCTGATCTTCTCTAATAGTACCCTCAATATCTTTCACCTCCTATATCAGAGCAGGGGAAGCTGCACGTCATTTGATCATCCGTTTAACTGGATATTGGAGGATGATGATGGTGGTTTCCACTGCATAAGTGCAAAAAGGATGATATATAGTTGAGTTATATCAAATGAAGTGAAATAAAAAAATATGGAAATTGTGGTAGGGCAGTTTTGTTAATATAGAACATTGGCTGCATGTTGGAGCTGCAGCTTCCTTGTTAGTTACTGGTTATTTTTGTTCTTTCTAGATAGATACTCTCCAACAAACCTCCTGCCTTCCACCCCCCCCCCTCCTACCCCCCCCCCCCCCCTCTTTTTCTTATGATAGGTACGCCTCTTATATTTTATTTTAGTAATTTCCTATTAGTATAGCTTTGAAAAATGGGTTAGACTGCTTAGTGACTTCCACATGAAAATCAAGTCTTGTCTCAGTAACTTCTTGCTCTGTATTTTCTACATTTTGTCAACGCATGTGTATTTAAGTAGTAGGAAGATGGTGCTTCCTCTTTACGTTGAAACAGTGCTTTATTCTGCTTTTATATGCAGTTTCTGAGGTATACTGTGGTCATTATTCATGTAGCAGGTTTTCAGACAGTTGCTATTTTCATGCAGACTGGTGTTCCTCAGAAGTCGGTTGCTGCAGCTAATAGGGTAGACAACACTGTGGAGGATTCTCCTTATAAGGTATGCATCTGAAACAACACAAAGGATTTGACCTTTAAACCTGCCTGTCGGAACTGGAAGCGGTATACACTTATGCCATGTGTTGGCCTTGTACTTGGAATGCCTATCGTCCTTTCCTTGTGATAAATATGAATCTCCTATTTGTTTCATGCTATTAGTAAGTTTCTTGTCAGTTTCAGTTTGTTTGATCTCTCTGATTTAGCAGGACTACTTAAGAGTTGAAAAATGGCTATTACTGTATATTAAGAGTTTACTTTTCATAAGCTTGAGCTCTTGTGTATTGTAGTTAGGTGTTTTAAAATATAATGTTGCAAATCCAGTTTTTTTGTATGTTAGCTTAAATTTTGAGAAAGGAATGAAATTAACTTTTGAAGGGTAAGTAAGTCCTTCATTGCGGTTACGGTTTTCTTTTTTTTGCGCGGTACTTTGGTGTAAACAAGAAACAATGTCTTGTCTAGATGATTTCTAACTGTATTATGAAAATGATGTGTACGACAGCAAATTGGTTAATATCAAATGCTTACCTTGACCCCCACCCCACCCACCCAAAAAAGGGTATTAGATACGGAAGAAAGCCTATGTTCTAGGAAACTGGGATACACATTTTGATGACCTAACGATCAGGATAGGAACAATAGCTTTGAGAGTTGAGACTATTATACCAATAATTTCTTCTGTGCGCTGCACTTTTATGTATCTTGTATACGAGACTCGCATAGACAGAAAGTCCAGCTGCTCTATGCTACTTCACAACACAGGAATCTCAAGTGGCTCAATTATATATTTGGTTGTGAGGTTATAGACTATGATATCTGCTTTCAGTACATAAGGTGTTGTTGTTTGAAAGTTCCCTAACTGTTAGACTAGATGCAAAGCTTCTCATTTGAATCCTGTGGGATTGTGAGGACGTTACATTTGGATTGCTTTACTTTCTTTGTTGGCCTTTGCCTCAACTCTTTGACAGGTCATATTTGTGAACTTCAGAATTTTTTTGTTTAATTTGGCTTCCACAAACGAGTTCTTCGAAATTTTACCATTTTGTATTTTCTATCTGATTAATGTTTTTTCAGATTTTCAAGTCTGTTTCATTCCTGTTGTTTCCTCTCCCTTTCAGTAACAAGTTTTTATACACGTCGCAGATTTTTGTTGGTGGAATTTCAAGAACTATTTCATCGGAGATGGTAAGGCCAAATAATGTCTCAAAACCTTTCCTTAATTAAAAAGAAAGAACAATGGAATATCGGGCTTTCCAGTGAATTTGATCTTATCTGATGCTATTTCAGCTTATGGAGATTGCTAAAGCTTTTGGACCTTTGAAAGCCTACCATTTCAGTATGAATTCAGATATCAATGAACCTTGTGCATTTCTTGAGGTACTCTCGGATTATTGGATACATCTTTCTCATATTAAATTAAGTGTCCTTTTCTTTTCTGAAATATTCTTTCCTTATTGCAAAGGTAGCTTTTACGCAACAAGCGGAGTCTTAATTCTGGCTAAGATTATTTTCGTTGGAGTGAATTATTGGAAGTACCGAGTGGTAGAAAAAAGAGCAAATTATCATCTTACTAGAAGTTAGATCTTATTCCTCTTCAACAATCTTCTTTGGGTGGAAGAGTGAATGAACAAAAAGTAGTTCTTTTTACATGTTAAAAAATTTGGTGGTCCTTTCTGCTTGCTTTTCTTTCTGTCTTGCCAAACAAAATGACTTACCACTGTTAGCATGTAAAGGCATGCTATCCTCTTTGAACTCCTTTTTTTATTTTAATTTTTCTCTTCTAATTCTGCTACTTTACTTCTCTAAAGGTAGGACGAGTAAGTAAATTTTTTGACAGACAAGCATCTTACCAGCTGACGTACAGTTGCTCTAGAACAACCAATACTGATTCAGATCCAGGTGTAGGCTTACTGATTCGATCAATGTGTGCCAAATATATCATCCTTTACACGGCCAATAGAAAAAAAGTATCATCCTTTACACGAAAATAAATCAAAAAGAGTAGAGGAGCTTTTAACTATTCATATCAAATTTTCTAGACATCAGATCTCTTTAATTCCTTTACTTCCCAATAATCTGCAGAGGACACTGCAGATCACTTTGCACGCTCTCTTCGTCCCTCTCAAGATTTGAGAATGAATGACCCTAGATCTCTAGCTTTACAATTTTACATGAGATGTTTAATGCTTTGGAGAATAGTGCTGCCTGCTTGTGTCAATGAGTGAGGGAAGAAATGATTCCAGTGAATAAAAAAATTTTTTAGTGCCAAAAGTGACTTGCCATACTTGATGCACTGCACAAATTTCTTATATGCTTGTCCTTATTTTCATTGCATGTAGAGTATTCCTTTTATAGTATTTTATGACCATGCTTTGATTTGTGGATTGCTATTGCTTAAATTTGTTGAGCTAGATACCTTGGTTTGTTACATCTTGAGCCTCTCTGTCCCTTTGTATTTCTCCTTGACTCAAGTGCTGTGAACTCTTAAGTCTTCTCCAAGTTCAACTCTTGCGTCTTTTATTGATCTTAAAGTAATTATTTCAACCATTTCAGTATGTTGACCATTCAGTTACTCTTAAAGCTTGTGCTGGTCTTAATGGTATGAAGTTGGGTGGAAAAGTGTTAACTGTTGTTCAAGCTATCCCAGATACTGTTTTACTGGTACTCTCTCAAGTCCTCTTATCCAGAAATTTTGGCTTTAGGTACAATTTTTAATCTATTCTTGGCAATACAAATTTGACCAAAAGATACACATAATACTCAGGACAAAGATGAAAATACACCTTTATACTGGATTCCCCAGCATGCAAAGCCACTTCTGGAGAAGCCCACGGAAGTTCTGAAGCTGAAAAATCTGGTATGTCTGTTTTTTAATCTTGGTGTAGTTTAAATTTTATTTTCGATAAGAAAAAAAAATGCTGTCTGTTATGCCAGTAAAAATGTTGATACTATTAGAAATTGTAGGGAACTTCTAGTGCTAGAGAAACTAAAATTTTATAACATTGTAATGGAGACGGGCTTAAATGAAGCTACATGTAAAATGAGTCAGATGGCCAACTCCAATTTGCTCGGTATTGAGACGTGGTTTTGTTTCCATATATTACTGGAATTATATTTCTTAGATGTGGCAAATCCACTTATCAGGGGGTTACTAGATTTTTTCCTCTAATTGTCTTGTCCTGTCCAGGTGGATGCAAATGTACTCATTTTATTGTCTGAAGCAGAAGTTGAAGAGTTATTGGAAGACATCAGATTGGAGTGTGCCAGGTCATTTATGAAAAGTCTTTTTTTCTTAACCTCATTGCTTTTATTTCTCCTTGTCAATTCATCACTGATCTGGAAAATGCTCTTCTGATGCTGTAGGTTTGGCGCTGTTAAATCGATTAATGTTGTAAAGCAAAGTCAATGCTCACTCACATCTGATCCTGCTGCTATGGACACTAGTCCTACTGTGAATGAGGACGATATGGAGTTTGCTAAAGAGTGTGACCGAAATGATCCATCCCCAAAGAGTTCTGATCACGAGTTGGAAGTTGGTGGGTCACACCTCCTTAACAGTGATGAAGAACCCATGGAAACCAATAGCGCTGAGGAAGCTGAAAGATGTGCTGATGGTAAAACTCAGATGTCAGAACCTTTAAAAGGTGACTCCGAAGAGGAGGCTGGAGATGTCGATGATGCTTTGGCCGCTGATGGTAAAACTCAGGTGTCAGAACCTTTAAAAGGTGACTCCAAAGAGGAGGCTGGAGATGCCGATGATGCTTTGGCTGGTGGCAGTCATTCCAATGATGGACCTCATGAGGAGGTAATAAAAGACGACACTTCTGACCCTCTACCCAATGATGGTAATGTGTCTGATCGAGGGACAAGCTGCCAAGAAAATTCCGAGGTTACTCGTGGAGTCCCTCCAAATGAAAAGAATACTATTATAGTTTTGGAAAGGAAAGATGAAGATTCTAATTCTAGTCCAGTTGAACATCTTGAGATAAATGATCAATCACCAGTTAAGGAGGCAATGAAATCAGAGGAAGACAATGGAAATGTAGATGGAGCTTTTGAACCAGAATTCTCGTCGAAAGAAGAGTTGGATGCTCGAGAGAAACTTGAGGAAAAGACTGAAATTTCTGTTAATGATGTGTTTGAGCCCGGCTGTGTACTTGTGGAGTTTAGAAGAGCAGAAGCTGCATGCATGGCTGCTCATTGTTTACATGGGCGACTGTTTGATGATCGGACAGTGACTGTGGAGTATGTTCCCCTTGATCTCTATCGTACAAAGTTTACTAAACAAAACTAATTCCTTTTGGTCAATTCAATGCCTTATTTCCTGCAGATCTCCCCAAACTTGAACGGCATTAACATAGGATTTGTCTATGCTATTCACTTATCTATCAGATCCTTACCTGAATGTTCACAATTTTTACCATATTGAGATGCCTCAGTTAACCTTTTGCTAGTGTGAGAGTTGTAGCAAATTTTCTGTATACCAGACTTGGAGCGAAATACATGTTTTCTCCAAGATGTAGAACAGGATTTAAGGACTCTTGTCCAAGAAATGAGCAATTGTAATACGTTAAATTGTCGTTAAAGTTGCAGCTTTATTTTTATGGTTGCAACATGTTGCCCACCATTTTGGATAGAGGAACACAGTCCTTTGTCGTTTTGAAATCTTGGAATTATATGCCTTATGATGAGGGGTTAGCCATCACGGCTATTGACTCTATGTTCTTGATGGTGTTGATCAGTTGGCCAGTCCACGTTAAGGGGTTGTTTGGTAGAGATAAGAGTGTCAAATTCTGGTATCTTCTCTTATCAGTCTTTGTATTTCTAATATAGTATCTTACAGCTAGTATAATTTTCTTTTGCAGTATTAAACTTTGCATTATTTATGCATTAATGGTGTAATTTTTTTTTTTACACAATCAAGCTACTTATTATGTAATTAGAGGAAAGTCTCTTGATAAGAATTAATTGGTAATTCTCTAAAGATGGTAACTAACTTGCTATCAAGTCAAAATTAATTGATAGTGTTAAAAAAATATTTACCGTCAATGTATATAACCTATAAGTTCATTAGCAAGATGTAAACCTGTTCGAAATAGGATTGATGGAATAAGGTCTATTTACTACTTGAATCCATTACCAAAAATGTAAACCTGTTAGAAATGGGAGAAATTCAAAAATAGTCAGATTTACAAGTGGTCGTTCAAAAATAGCCTAGTTTCAAAAGTAATCGAAATTTAGCCACTTTTCATGTAAAGATAAATCTGAGCGAAAACACTGTTCCAAACCCGGAAAATATGCCAGTATATTATGCTGCAGTTCCAGCATAAGTATACTTGAACTCCAGCATATTATACTGGAGTTCAAGGATAAGTATGCTGGAACTCCAGCATAATATGATGGAGTTCCAGCATAAGTACACTAGAACTCCAACATAATATACTGGAGTTCCAGCAAAGTAAACCGGTCCAGTATAATATGCTGAAAGTTCATACACAAGTGCTCGAATCTCCAGTATATTATGTTGGAACTTTCCGTGTGTTGGAGTTCCAGCATAATATGCTGGAAGTTCATACACAAGTGCACCGAACTCCGGTATATTATGCTGGACCGGTCTCTGTTGCAACAAAATAGTGGTTAGTTTTCATTGACTTGGTAAGCGCTGGCTATTTTTGAATGATCAGTCCGAAAACTGACTAGACCGTGCTAATTTTACGTTAGAAATAGGATTTCTGGACTAGCGATCTATTTACTTTCCCACACCTATAAATTGTGGTGCACATTAGGGCTTTGTATTGAAATTTGTTCGTAGAAAAATGTCCAAGGCACAACTATGAGTAAGGGAGGGACAGCTGACATATTGCCTCATTGTGTCATTCACACAATTTTAAAGAAGCAGCTAAGATGAGCATTCTCTCGAAAACATGGCTACAAGCTTGGTTGATACTAAGAGTTGCATAGCATTCTGTCTTATGATACTAAATGTTGCATTAGTGTGCAATTGACGGTTTATTATTTTTTCCTGGCTTATTTCAACTTAATGTTCTAATTTCTATTTAAGTACTCAAAGTATGTATTGGTGTTAGTGCATTTTAGTATTAAAATTATGATATTAAAGTGTATTATTTCTTGTGAGATAGTGGTTATAAATTGGCAAGAAAGTGGTCATTACTTTGGTGTAACTCATGAAACCACTAATGTCATGATTTACCACTTATTACCCACTAAAGCTTATATTTTGTAACCACCAACCCATGTTCTACTATTTTATTATCCCACTATCTTATTATTTATTTCAAGGAAGAGATTCTACACCTATAAATTGTGATGTTACTTCTTTGTATTGAGTATGAGAAAAGTATTATGATGTACATGAAAAAGGTGTGATTGGTATTGTGAAAAAAAGTGTTAAGAGAAAGAGAAAATCTAAGTGGGCTTTTGGGCATAAGAATTGTAAAATTCCAAAATAGGGGGAAATTTTTTTTCAAATGAATGTTATTTGAAATTTAGAGTTGTGTTTGGACATGAATATAATTTTGGGTTGTTTTTGAAGTTTTGTGAGTGATTTGAATGAAAATTTTGAAAAACAACTTTTCGGAGTTTTTCAAATTTTCGAAAATTTATAAAATGCATCTTCAAGTGAAAATTGGAAATTATATGAACAAACGCTGATTTCGGAAAAAAGCGAAAACTTTTTGGAAAAAAAGGAATTTTTTTTTATGTCCAAACGGGCTCTAAGTCTCGAAATTTTCCTCTACAAAAGAGAATATTATTTTTGTTGAAGGAAGGTGTTCATTTTGGTGGAGCTTTGGACTCAACAACTTGTCCAGTATTTGTTTGAGTCATACGACGTTGTCGGGCTGTTGTATCCTGGAGGGGACAAGTCAAGAGTATTACTGCTGGACCGGTAAAGATGATACCGCAGTGGGTTTGAATCTCCTTAAAGAGAGCGGGATATCTGCGTCTCAGCCTGAAGAATATTTATTTATTTTTCTTTATCTAATTTTTCAACTGTAATTACTTGTAATTTCACCAACAGTATGCACTGTGTGGAAAAGAGAAGTAATGTTGCATATAGTTTTTGTCTTAACCACCAAAGGATATGGTGCAGTAGATGATACTGCTCATACCTTAACTAGAGGTCTCGGGTTCGAGCTCTAGGTATGGAAAAGCTTCTTTCTGAATGGGGCTCTGCGCAACGCGAATATGAACATAGTCGGACTCCAATGTACACCGGGTGGGAAAAGGAAAAAAAAATTTGTCTTAAGACTTCTAATATATGCGACCTTGCATTAGGTAGGAGTTTAGAACCATCAAAGACCTTTCTTTTTCTATTTTCTTTTTCTTTTCACCTCATGCTAAATAGAAATTTTAGTAGCAGAGGTGGAGCTAGTTTGAAACTTATGAATACGGAATTATAACTATTTAAGTTACTGCCTTTTAAATTTCTTAAGATAAAATAGAGGAGTTGAACCTAATTTACTGAATTCGACCGGAACCGTAACTAATACACTAGTTCTGCCCCAGGTTATTGGTGCCAACATTTGTTTCAACTTTCATCACCCAAAACATGTACAATTTTGCAGTTGTACAATTTGATGTTGTTAACGTTAGTTGATAGCTTTTATTTGCCACATTTAATAGTAGGCAAAGATCTTTCTGTTAAACCAATGCAAGAAATCATTATCATTCCCTTCGCCAAAAAGTTAAGTAGAAAAATTATTGTTATGTTTATCTAGTATATGTTGACTCTCATTATTTTCTTTATACATTTACTTTTTAATATTTTGATATCCCTTAGTAAATTTTTTGGCTCCGGCATCAACAGTAGCATGAAGTTCAAACTTGTACAAGTGAAATATTTCATTATGTAACATAATTTAAAAACTTTCACGTAATTTAAGAAAAAATAAAGATATTTGAAACTTATGATCATATTTATATTTGTGTAGCTACAAGATTTTTGGATCATCAAGTGGTCATGCTAGAGACATAAACAGTCATGAATAATTAAATTATGAGATCCCTTGTTGTTTTAAATATGGAGTACCATGTTTAACTATAGCAGAGTGTCATTAAAAGTGAAAAAGAATCTAAATTACATTATTTCTAATTATAAAAATATGTTATTTTTAAAATAAATTAATAAAAAATTGTGTCACATAAACAGAAATAAAATGGTATTATAGTGCCAAACAAAAAGGACTTGAAAACAAAGGAGGAATTGCAAATTAGTAATGCACAATCTAATCCCTATGCACCCGCACCGCATGTAATAAATTCCCAATTTCACCATATAGGAAAAATTAAAAGGCCAAGAAACAAAACCACACCCACAATCCATTTCGTTATCCACTCTTTCATCAAAAACAAGATTTTTGAAGCAAAAAAGATTAAAACTTTAAGGAATTGGAACCAAAAATGGCAACAATGGTGGCAGGTATAAGCCTGAGAGGACCAGTGGTGAGTAGTCACAGGACATTTTCAGTGGCAAAAAGGGCTTCTTTACCAAAGTTGAAACTGAGTTCAGAGTTGAGTTTTGTAACCTCCCAATTGAGTGGTCTCAAGATTTCAAGCACCCATTTTAGCTCTTCAGCAGCTCCACTTTCTGTTCCTTTCAAGCCTTCTCTTCAACCTGTTGCTCGTAATTTCTCTGCCCCTTTGTTGTGTTCTTTTTGTGTGTGTGTGTGTGTGTGTGCGCGCGCGCGCTATGTTTCTTTTTTGGTCTAATGCTGAGTATAGAAAGAGTTCCTTGTGTTGTTTGAAATTTGAATTTGGGGGTGGGGGATTGTTAATGAAGTTACTTGATTATGAGAATCTGAACTTTTACTCCCTCTATTGGATTTTATATTGCATTGTTTGATTGAGCATGGAATTTAAGAAAACATAAGTTATTCGGAACCTGTGGTTTTAAACATGCCAGGACATTTCTGTGGCTTTAAAGCATGTCATAAAATCAAAATTTTGAAGTTAAATTGTTGTCAATATTAGAAACGTGTCATTCTTTTTTCGAACAGACTAAAATGAAAAGTCTAACACATAAAATGGAATACAGGGAGTATGTACTCAATTAAATATGTTCATGAAATTTTATCTGAATGGTGGTGGATTTTAGTGCAATTGTAGAGTTGCTCCTTTGGTGGCCTGTAGATTACATGCTTGAGGTGTGATTAGATTCTTTGCAGTATTGCGAGGTGAAGACTGTATATGGTAGACACCCACTCTCCCTATACCCTTGAATTAGTAAGGAAGCACTTTGTGCACGGTGTAAGTCCCTTTTAAACTTGGATACAACAAGAGAAGGCGATAACTTTAAAATGTTACTATGATGAATTTTCATTTCAGTGCAGACAGTCTTTTAAGTGTGTGGAGCAGCCTATTCAAAGGGTCATAGGACCTAAATCATTACGTGGTTGTTTGGTATTCAGATAGTTGTTCCTTCCATATAAGAGTCCCGATTTAGTAGTTGGATGTTTAGAATTCAGATAGGTGTTTTGTGCTAACAACACATCATATTAGATTATTCATTACCAAGTGAGAGATGGTATATGGGAATGAAAGTTGTCGCTTACAATGTGGAGGATACAAAGGCATAGCCAAAATTGAAGAAAAGTCAATTCAGTTGCAAACTAAGTATATTATGTTCTTAAAATCCATGGTATGAACTGCGGACTTGACTATAATTTACATAGTATTTAGTTACACTTCATAATCCATGTGTTAAAACTTAAATAAAACTCATATTATAATCTACTATCTAAACAACCTCTTATATATGCTTTCTAGAGGAGAGTTTAAACGGGTGTTGTCATTCCATGGGTTTAAAATCTGTCTATGGTCACAAGAAAGTAGGGATAGGACACCCTCACGCGTGCAAAATTAAAGAAGTGAAAAGTGTCTGATGGACTACATTAAACTGATTAAGCTGATTTTAGTTTGGAAGTTTGTCCAAATTTTCTTCATATACTAAATGAGCTCTGGTTCTCTCCATCTTGGTTCTTTTTCTCTAACTTAGGGACTACGAAATTTTAAAACATAACCGATTGTCCAAGTAAAAGGTTATAGAATCTTTTAGCATATCTTTTTGCATGAATTCATTACATTACCACTTGATGGTACAGCATGCAGTCGAGAGCAGAGATTTGTAGTTCCTATGATTGTAAGTGTCTATCCCACGTAAGAGTTAATTGCAAACTTCCTTCTGATAAAAAATTTAACTGGGAAAGCTTCCTTTAGTACAAAAAGAAAAATGTTCACTTGTACGTCGACAACTATTTGAGTCGGAATGCATCAATATAAGATCATTCAGGAAGACAATCTGCAAAAGATTTTCATGTGAACTGATTATACTTCTATGGCTGCTAGAAGCTTTTCTTCTCTTTCCTTTTCCCTTCATAAATTAAGTTATGATTTCTGAGCAGAAGACCTTGTTAAAAGAACAGACAGTAGAAATGGCATCGAGAATTTATTGTTTCTTCAAATATAGGGCTAACTCCTTTTCATTGAACTTCTTGGATGTCGGGGAAAATACTTATTTGCTTCAGACTTGGAACTATAAATTGTTAAGGTAACTGCAGAATTGAAAGAGGTTTCCTCTTGCTTTAATTCCAAACCCCCAGTCCATGTGAAACAATATAATAATTTTTTTTCAAGTGATCTTAAAGACAGTATCCATATGCTTCAAACTCAAAGGATGCATTTCTTGGTTAACAAAGTTTGCATTTCTGTTATGAACTTGTGTCTAAGCTACAACAAGAATATTATACTGATGATAAGACGGTATACTTCTGGTTGGAGTTGAGGCCTCTTAGGTCTCTTAACTTTAAGCAGCCTAAAGGCGGAGCTTCATATTTCGACAAATGTTGAGGGACTTCGAGGGAGTTTTCATTTTCTTGCTTTTCTGCCTTTCCTGATAATAAGCAGGATTTTCTTTGCCATTTTCCTTTTGGCAGGGGTAAGGGTAGGGGTAAGGTCTGCGTACACACTACCCTCCCCAGACCCCACTATGTTGGGGTTAGTTGGGTATGTTGTTGTTTGCTTACTTCAACTCCTCTTTTATATTGCTGAAATCATTGTCAGGATGCATTGTGTATTCGCTTTTTTTTATCCTAGAACTACTTGGTCTTTGAGCTAATCGGTGAAATTAAGATGTTTTTTTGGGACGAGAGTAATCAAATATTCCCATTGAAGCATCCTTTGTTTTTCCCTCTGTTTTCCTACAGTATGTAGGCTGTTTTCACTTGTGTCGGTGCCTTTTGTTATAAGTATTTGAATATTAAGAAAGCTTTTCTGTTTTTCAGGTAGAATTTGCCCATTCACTGGGAAGAAGTCCAACAGGGCAAACAAGGTCTCTCACTCAAACCACAAGACGAAAAAACTGCAATTCGTTAACCTTCAATACAAGAGGATTTGGTGGGAGGCAGGCAAGCGCTATGTGAAACTGAGGTTGTCAACAAAGGCCATAAAAACCATTGAGAAAAATGGACTTGATGCTGTAGCCAAGAAGGCTGGAATTGATCTTAGCAAGAAGTAGAACCTTGAACATGATAGCATCTTTGTTTGTTCACTAATTTTGATGCCTCAAAATAGTACTTAATATCTTTTGGCATTGCTTGTTGATTTATTGATTATATGCTTTTCATAATATTACTTTCCAAGAATATCTTGATCAAAATATTCTCTTATAGCTTAGAGAAAAGATTTAGCCTTGTAATTGCATGCTATTCATAAATAAGCCTGCGAATTCCTTGATCAACTATTTCCAGGAATATAAAAATATTCTCTTACAGCTAAGGAAAAAGATTTTGCCTGTAAATGCATGCTATTCACAAATAAGCCTGTGAAAGTGATGCTGCTTCTGAAGTTCACATGATCGCCAGTTACCCTTAGTCGCGGACAAAGGGTGTAAAACAGAGGCGTTTTCTGGTCTACCTAAGCTGGGGGTTCGTTGGATGTTCTTTAATCTCCCCAAAATGATGGTTCTGTTGTCTTAGGGCGCACTTGAGGTACAGAAATAGGACCTTAGTCACTTTGTTGGGGGGGGGGGGGGGGGGGGGAGGAAAGACCTATGTCGGGCACCATTTGGGTGTCGGATGCCCGTTAACCTCTGTATTAAAGACAAATGCATGCAAGGAAGAATGTAATTCCAGAAGTGCAGTAAACATTCATCTATAACAAGAACGAAACAAACTAGCATCATCCCTTTTGGGATCATACAGTAAAAAAGTCAAAACATAGACTGAACAGACTACAGTATGATGAAGAGTATTTCAGCTAAAGCTCACTTAGAGCTATCCTTGAAAAAACAGAACAACTACATGGCAAAAGCTTAACAATTTCCATTTGATTTTTGGTTAATCTCAGTCCCATCTGTTCCACACTCTGCAGCCATCAACAACTGTCCCTTGAGTCAAGGTGCACAGCGACATTCTTCTATGTAAGGAAGCCATTTCTGGCTGTAACTTCTACTCCAATCACCTTCATTTACGTTGTCTCCCTTGCAAATCAAAATCATCAGCTGAGTAGTAGTCGGAAATGAGACGATACATATATGATGGGTTATGGCCTCCACTGCAAATCAGAAAGATGTAACAAGTATTATTATCATAAAACTACTGATTAATCCCTAGAGTGGTAAAATAATACGTTGCAAATTCCCCCTACGTTCCCCCCTTGAACCTTGAGAATAATTCCAAATAACCAAACTTTTGCATGTAGAAACTTGAATCAATTGTTTTTTAATAGTACATTTCTTTAATGTAATATTTCAGGATTGAGGCGTATTTGTTGTTGCAAGCCAACTTCTAATACAAAAATGGTAAAGTGTCCTTACATGTCGGTGATGAGAAGGCTAACAAGCTCAGGTGACACGTAGTCAAAACCGGGGTTGACAACTTGAACAAGAGGAGCCCTACTATCCATTCCAAAATCCATGCAATTGGAAAATTGCCCAAATTCCAGAAGTTCAGCAGGGGATCTCATGTCATTAAGACAAACCTCTGGATTGTGTGGATATGAAGGGCACAACTGTAACAGAAAGAAGACATTTAAAAGGATTAACTAATACTAAATACAGCCAAAAGTAGAAAAAGAGTGTGTATTAGGCGGCAAATGTAAAAGTTTGTAACAAATTCAAGGGTTTGCAAAGCCTAATTTCAAGGGAACAGAATCATATTTTCCACAACATTTCAAGGTTCTTAACATGATTTATTTAGCAAACCAGAAAAACTGAGGTCTTGCCGTGTTATCAGATGCCTTCTAGTTCGGGAGTGACAATCAGCGAGATGCATAAAAACCGCCAATTGTTAAAGAGTTAAAGGAATAGCCACTTAAATAGCTGGACAGCACAAGTCTGATACCTCACAAGATTTCGATCTTTTTTCTCCCTCCCCTTAATTAAACCTTTTTGACAGTTAAATACATGGAAGAGCCAGTAAAGCTCAGATACCTTGTGAATGCCGGCAACTACTACAAATGGAACAGCATGCTTTTGAGCTGCAAGTGCAACCATGTTCATACCAACAGGTGCAATGACACCGCCATTGGCCATTATTGCATGAACTCCCACTATAACCTACACAACAAGGTTAGGGTTCTAAGCACAGGTAGCCCAAGTACAGATTGATAGTAGGCATAAAATAGCAAATCCAGAAAGTTAAGTACCATATTTACTCTAGAAATCATTGCAAAAATAGCAGAATCTGTTACTACTGTAGCTTGTAGACCTCTTCCTACCAGCTCTTTTGCAAGAGCATGCCCCTGGTACCTGATCAAACACAGACGGAGAAGGGAAAGTTCGCGGTTAATATGATAAATAAATTTCAAGATTAATTTATTTCTTGGAAATTGCAGAATACTCCACAAACCTTGGTGCGCCCTCTGCAACAACCACCCGGAAAGACCGTTTTTTCTCTTTTGCGGCACAGAGGAATTCCAAGGCAGTTCTTGAACTACCTAATGTTAGTATTACTTCACTGAAAAAAAGTGCATTTGTTAATGAGCTATCACATTTGATTAGAAAAGACATGTCCCATACAACTATGCAGCAATATGCCCGCAAAGGGGGAAAAAGTACGAAAAAATACATTAGAGGTGAAGGTTGAAACCGCGAAGAACATTTGAGCTGCAATTAGGATCGAAACTTTATCATCCATGAGCAATTGAGGAAGGCCATCCACCATAAATTTTGTAAAATGTCTAGGCTACCAACCTAAATTTGTCATTTTCACAGTACTTTCGGAACATAGATTTGTCACTGATGTGAAAGAATGTGTAAAATTTATTAGGTAAAATGTCTATCCAGCAAGTAGCACTTGTCACAAACCCAGGCTGTAAGCCCTGTGTCACTGTAAAGGGAAAACCCTTGGAAGGTAAACTGGCGAAACAGTGAAACAACAATATCCATTGAGTGTGTTCAGTTCATACTATAATGTTACTTGAAATATCTAGTATGCATTACTTATAAAAAAAAGAAAGATATCCAGTATGCATAACACGATACAGACGTATTCTCCAGTATGCTGTAAAAGGTAAGTACTTTTGATGAATATGCTCAACTGCCTGCTCTGCGATCAGCTCATGACAAGTATCGATATCTTCAATTAGTATGTTAATTGCCTCAATGACGTCATGTTTTAACTTCCGAGTCCTGGCAAGTTTATCAGCTGCAACACAGAATAACAGATAATTCAGTGCTGAAACTAAAAAATGATTGCTGTTATAAATTGCTTTAAACTCATGTAACACAGGAGCGTTTACCTTTGCTTTTCTCTTCAGAATCTCCACCTGAAGAGGAGGTGTATATGTTACTCGGTAAAGCTTTATCGGGCATACTCTCCAGAAGTGCATGCAATGAGGGAGATCGTAAAAAGCTTTTAGCCGCAGCTGCTGCAGCAGACTGAATTGGGTCACAATCGTGGTCTATGGTTCCTTCATCATCACTTGCAGCTGATAAATCTAAGTCGCCTGTTTTACTGGCCAAAAGAGAAAGATCCTCCTCCCGGATAATATGAAGAACACGCCTAACAATATTTCCAACAGCAAGCTCTGCAATTTCATCAAATTTTTGGTTATATTATTCTTCGCATAACAAATATGATTACTTAATCTGGAATGCTTTTATTAAAGGTCATTAATTCTCTATGACTTCTCATTTAAAGTACTGTTGACAATCCTTGTCACTGAACCAACGACTGGAGAACACATCTATCTGGTTTAAAAGGATATATATGAATAAATGTATATGCATGTATGTATGCATATATATACATAAATCCCCTAGTAAGTAGAGTGACGACGAATGAGCGATGACTTCCATGCCTAAGAAGATGTGCAGAAGTACACCTAATATGCTGGAACAAGTTTGAACATATGAAACGAACATAAGTATAGCCTTAATATGTTTGAATAACAGTGAAGCTTCCAGTAGATGTACCAATAGAGGACGATGACCACTTCTAATCTCACTATGGACGTCCTGAATGTTTTTCTCATAAAGAGTTGTAAATGCAGAAAATCTATGCAGCAATTAGTACTCCCTCGTCTCATTTTAGGTGACACACTTTCCTTTTAGTTTGTCCCCAAAAAGATAAGTCATATTTCTGTATTTGGAAATTACTTAAACATATCATCTCTTACCCTTAATGACATGATTTGTTGGTGACCAACTTGACATAAAAGTTCACTTTTTTATGAGGAGAAAGAAACATGAAAGGTGGAATTCTCACCATCACGCATTTGATTGTTGGTAGTAAGGTTAATGTTGGTAGTTTGCACACATTTAGCTTATGTGTCAAAAGCTTCTTTTGGTTCTGAAACTCAGTGCTTGGTCAAACACCACCACATAAAATGGAATGGAGGGAATAACTTTTAGTATGAATGAATATACATGACGAGTAACAGGTGGAACCTTTTATCAAATGCAATTTACAATGGGGAAGCTAGCAACCCCTTCCAATCATGGTGTTGAAAGAGGTTATGCTTTCTCAATCAATATTTCTATGGACCCACCTTCAAGAAGACATTGGAGGAGCGAGAGAGAGCGTGCGCTATTTAGCTGATCTATCCACATGCTTGTAAGGGCCAGCTTTATCAGTTTCTGACTATTTTTCTTTTTCCTACTTTCTTAGGGACAGGACCAGCTTAGGGACAGATTATAAGTGCACCTGGATTTGGTGAAAAGAACAAAACTATCACATTTATGCTGCATATAAATGTGCAGAAGAGCCATCAGCATCCTTTGGATCCACTTAAACTGCTCTGATGTGAACATCAAAACTACAAAATCTAGTCCCCAAACTTAAAAGTAAATCTCACACACTAAGCAAGAGCTTATTGATTTCCTATTCCTGCAGTATTGCTCCCTCAAGATCTAGGTCCACAAAATATGTCAAGGTAAGTATAACATTAGCATAATGTTTTCGAGACAGAAAGAAACAGCAGATCTTTTGCATCTTCTTGATGCCTTTTAATACAACATCTTACTTCATCAAAAATAAAACAAAAAAAGGAGAAAGGTAATAGTTTACTACATGTTAGCATAATTCCAGTCCTTAAATGAAACAAACAAATGCAGCTAAGTTACTGACTCTAGACTAACCATATGTCAAATGTTTTTTACGAGTGACATCTAACCGAGATTAACAGAACCGGATAACCAGGCACATTCAAATTATC